TTTGATGACGCTATTTTTGTAGTATTTTTTCAGAATGATTTACAGTGTGCGTTTTCAAAAGTAGTCATATGTTGTAACTTGTGCCTTAGTCAAACAGGTAAACAGAGGGAGAAGTACATGGTACCTTTCTGCTGTTACACATTTTGCATATACACTTTAAAAAATCCGGCCATGACTAATCAACATAGCATCCTGGATCTCTGAAAGGCCTCTCTTCGCTTCTCAGGAGACCCTGCTGATACTATCTTTTCCTTGACAGTGACATTAGCTTTCATTCAACACTAACTCCATTTGTCCTTCCTTAAGCACTTCCTTACCGCACCGTGCACAAATTGCATAGTCTTGATGTAGAGCAGTTTCTTTCTCATTGCTGGAGGATAGTTTGTGAGAAACGCCATGCAAGCCAGTTTGCCAGAAGTTTGCCTTCCTTTTTTAATTCCTTTGCAAGAAATTTGCAGTTTGCTTCCCCCTCCTCCACCTTTTTTTTTTTTCCCTGCATGCCCGTCTATGCATGATAAAACAGGCTTATGACCACAGAAATGAGAAAACTGATGGTCAGGAAGGCTGAGGCTTGCCCAGGCTCACCTGTGGGATCACTGAAATAACTAGTCACTGACTCCTCTTAGCCTGTGCTGTAGATTCAGGAGTGAAGTGAAGGAAGAAAGAAACCAAGGAGAATAGTACAGCAGAGCATTTCTTTAATAAGTTGCATATACCAATTGGGAGAAAAATTAATAAAAATAAGAGAGTATTGCGTATTGAAAATAGGAGGAAATTTGTGTAATCTGGAGATAATTTGTATGGCTGACTTTTTCTGGTGCTGGGAATTGCTTTCTGGGAAGCAGTCAGGAGCGAAAGGAACGTCTCTCTGCTCCTGAGTTATGCTACTTCAGTACAAGGAGGGAGCAGATGTAGTAATTAAGTGTTCTCAGAAGGTTGCAAAGTGAGTTGATTAAGTGAATAACTAGAGTTAACAAAGCCATGTCAAGTTCAAGACGCAATTGTGCATCTGAAAATATTAGAATTGATCTCTTTTTGAAGTTCTCTTTTATGCAGTCTTGAGCTGTAAATAAAGCACTGGTCTAATGGTAGCATATCCCATAACAGGAAAAAGAGAAATGATTTTTGCTTAAGCTTACAGTAGACCTTGTTCATGATAGCACTCATTTTCATACACAGTGCAGTCTTGCCTTGCTCTTCAGCAGTTTTAATGGTGGAAGCACTGACTCATTTTGGTACGAAGTTCATGACTCTTAGCCTCACAAGAGAAGGTCTTATTTTACAGTAATGCATTTCATTGCTATATCTCAAAGTATTTTGATGGAATGAGTAAACGCTACTTTGTCTGCATAATGGGAACAACAGTAACACAGAAATTACTGGTAGTAAAATTCAGTAATGTGACAAAATTGGAAATAGAATTCGGGCCCTCTGTACCTCTCACTTTATCAGCTATCTCAAGGTTAAGGCATACAAAAACTGTCTTAATCGTGCTTTTTCAGCAAATTTCAGCCTTCATCTGGAATTGCTGGCCATGTTTCCTACCTATTCTCCTTTATTTGTGGGATGGCCTAACAGTTCATGCTGCGGGCCAATTGCCCTGTTAGCACTAGAGGACCGTAGGGCAGGCTTAGGAGCAGTGATATTCACTTTGCTTCCCGGGGCACAAATAAGGTTAGGAGCACCACAGACCACAGCATCACTGTCATGCTTGAGAATTAAATTCTTCAGAGAAATTGGACAAACCAGGAAGGCAGCTGTCATGAGTACAGTGGTTGAATTGTAAAGTATGTCGGCTTATGGGGGAGTTTTAGTGGAGTCAATAGCTGTAGGGCATCTGAGTGCTTTTCTGGTTCTTTTCCCATTGAGTGGTAGCAAACAAAGATGGGGAAATGTCACAAACCTAACCTGAAACCTGTGAAAGTCAATGGCAAGAAAAAATAAGGGACAGAAACGTAGCCAATACCTGCTGGAGCTGTCAGTCTGTTTTCAGTGACTAGATAGAAGACAAGAACTAGCTCTCTGTGTTCAAAGCCTACCTTTCTTAACATCCTCCAGGGTCTGCGTGACAAGGAACTGTGCCACAGAGTCCATCCAGAGATGGAGATGGCATTCTGCTAAGAACTAGGGAAGCTTAAAGTTCAAGATGTTGGTATCTGAGTGCAGCAGACTTCACACGCAGGACAAGAATCAGTGACAACAATCAAAAGCCAAAAATAGCTTTCATGACCCTGATGCACGTGTGTTATTTCAGCTGATGGGTAATCTCAGGTAGCACAGGTAGCACAGTTTGAAAGAAGTTGCAGAATAAGAAATACCTTTGTGTTGCATTAAGTAAATAGAAATTATTCCTTCTTCAGTAATTCTTTAGGTAGAAGATGATGGTGAAACGTAAAGAAGAGCACTCTTCTTGATACTAAGTAGTAGTGTAGTGAATAATGTAGGAGGGATTTCAAATGAAACTCCTTGATTTCAAATGAAACTCCTCAGCAGTTTTGGATGCCTCAATGCCTCTTAAAATATCCTTAGTTTTAAATGCGTGTCTCAATCTTGCCTGGAGTTATGTCAGATAGTATGTGTGGGTTATATATGTATGTGTGTATATATAGAGTGAGATACACTATTTACATACTAAAGTGAAAGGGACCAGAAAATAGCATGCATTTGAGAAACCTACAGAGAGAGAATATATTTATGGGGAAAAATAGTAATTAAGCAGAAGGTGGGTTGTGGAGGGGAGGAATTCTTACCTCAGGAGACAATCTGCCCTACTTTCTTTTCTCACATTTTGAAATCTATGAATCTTTTACTTGCTTTATCACTTTCCCCGATTCCCTGCAGGCCAGAGCTGACAGCTAAGCCTCCGTTTTATCTTAAACTGTTCAAAGTTTGTTGGAAAATGACTTATCGTGCTGTGTTTGAAAGTGGTTACGTGACTGCAAGATCCCACCTACTGGTTACTCAGGGTCCAGGTGATCACTGTTGTTTGAGTGAAATCATAATGATAGTCCCAGAACAGCTGGCAGATTGTTAAAATATATGATCTTTTACTGCTTCCAGTTAAAGACCAGGAAATGAGTTGACTCTTTTTTATTCCCTCTGATAGTAGTAACCTGTTTCTTGGGCCACTCTGATATCAGTATGTAAAGATTAGTTCTTCACTCTATATTATTAATAGCTGCTTTGTATATGGAGAGGGTCAAGCAATTGCATTGTCCATAGATGTCTTGATTGTTTATTCTGTGGTCTCTGTTCACTGCCTTTGCATATGGCTTCTACAAGTCCTTTCTGGTTTTATTCCATTGCACTTCTAAGAATTAGCTTTGTAATATACTGTTGTTGCTGCACTTCAGCATGATGAAATGCAGGCATAAGATGAGCGTGGCAGCATTCCTGTCTCTGGAAATAAGTTTCTATTGGAATTTCTGTAGTAATTTCGTTTTAGTGGGTTTTAACTTTTGCTGAAACTTGATATACTTCAAATAGCTCTCTGTGATGTAACAAGATAAAGCAGGATAGGAATTGCAGGCTGTTTATGTTCAGTCTGTATCGTGAAATAATATGCTGATGTACTGCTTTTCATCTTCAAAGTTTTTTTGTAAATAGTAATTCCTCTGTATTACCATCTCTGAAAAGTTATTATGTAAGTAACCAGTGTATGAGATTCTTAGGTTGAAATTCGTCTGACTGATGGCAATTGAACTCATGTTGCTCAGGAGGAAAACATAATCGCTAGCTTGTTGTTCCTTCTGTGGATCTAAGCCTTATTTCTCTGTTGTTGTTAGTTCCAGTGGGATAACTGCCTCTCTGTGTGGACTTCTGAGGAGAAGGAAAACATTAATACTAGGCACAATTCAGTTCTTGCCACAGGATATTTTTTGTTTTGCGCTGGTGAGAATGTTTTCTGGAAAGTTGTTTTTGGTATCCTATTAACTCATAACAACCAAGTAGGTTCACCTGCTTTTACCAAGAGAGTAAAAATTAGGGGACTTGTGAATCCATGGAGGTCTAGAGAACCTGCCCAGAATGCGTCTTTCAATACTCCCCATTATACTGAGACCACTGGGAGATGGCGATGTGTACTGCCATTAGTTACACACATGAAAAACTTCCTTCGTATTTTTATGGAATGAAACTCTTCTAAAAGGTTGTCCAGAATCAGTAGGAAGTTCCTGGATGTCATTGTTTTGGGTCTTTACTTACTGGATTGGCTGAATTCTAGCCTTCAACCCTCGCCCCATTAAAGTCAGAAGGAAACAGTGGCTGTGAGCTGAATAAAGTTGGGACTTTATCCATAACCCGATAGTGTTTTTTTCTTCATTATCTACAGTAATGTTAGTAGGATTTTTTTTTAATTTGATTTCATTGTTGGCACAGCTGGGCTTGCTATGCAATGCAAACAGTGGCAAGGGACTACCCTTCAGTTTACTTTAGCAGAGCATGTGACAGTAGAGAGGTACTAGCTCAGCTGTAGTATATGATGTTTACCTGAAATTGAGAAGTAAGTATCAGTTATATGGATTTTATGACAGGAATTTTACATAAATTGTATTTTTGTTACAATGTCTTTCTTTACTCTTATTATGCCCTGTCTTGACCACTTCATGTTCCTCCTGAACTCTAAAATTTTGGAACTTATGAAGCTCATACCATCTCCTCCCCTCTCCCTCCTCATGATGCTGTGGTAGTAACTATGGTAAATATGGAACATCAGACTGAAAGGATATTAGGTAAACAGGCTTCACTGCCTCCTTTCTAAACAATCACTACATTACAGAATTTACCATCTAAAGACATCTATATGTTACACATTTTCGTTCTCACCGTTACTCTATAACTGCATCACTTAAGTTAACAGAGAAGTGGTGAGAAACTTGGTCAGGATTGTCTCAGACTGAGTGCAAACCAGTGTTATTGAGCTTAGTTAATTAACTTATACTCACGTATTTAAAAACATCATAAACCAAAAGGGCAATTGGGTCATTTATGTGTTCTTCATGATGGCGATGCTCATACAAGTAATTCCAAAGTAATTCACTGCTCCTATTTGTAACATTCCTGCAGGGCTTGGCTTGTGCCACAGGCCGTCGTTTCGAAGCTCGCAGTGTCTTCCCAGAGGCACAAGGCAGTATCGAGTCAATGATGTTTTGACTCATTTGATGGGGAAGCTTTCAAAAATTCAGTATGGTCACTATCAGTAGGGATATGGGAAGAGAAGCAGGTTTTCCAAGTGCCACCTGTGTAATATAAAAGCTTAGAGTACCCAGGCTTACATTTTGATACAGCCACAGATTTTGTCAGTTTGCTTCTCAACTGTAAAAAAGGGACAATAATTTCCCTGCCTTACAAGGGCATAGGAAAATAATTTCTGTCTTCTGGGTGTCTCATAATTACATGAATGCTGAAGATAGTGCTCCTAGTAGACGGACAGGTCCAACAATAGGCTGGTGAAAGACCGGATGGTGAATGAAAAAAATAAGTTATCATAAGAGAAATTAACTTCAGCAGATGAGAAATTCTGTAATACTCAGTACTGTCTGTCTGGAGTTGTGGTAGCTGGTGTCATTACTGTTTCTGTGTAGTTGTGCTGTGGGAACAGTTCTCAGTTACGTGGCTAACAAGGCAGAAGTTTTAGACTGTGAATTTTCTATTTTGCTGAGTAGAAATGTAAAATAAAAATCTGCATTTTAAAATATTCATTTCTTTTTCTTTCTTCCTTACAGCTTGTGGCCAATGCAATCCTTTTTGTCAGTGTAAATTTGTATGGGGTCTTTGTGAGGATTTTGACAGAAAGGGCTCAGAGGAAGGCGTTCCTCCAGGCCAGGAACTGCATAGAGGACAGGCTGAGGCTGGAGGATGAAAATGAAAAACAGGTCAGTTTCAAAGTATTCTTTCTTTTCTCTGTTTCCTTTGAGATCGCTACAGTTGCATGAACTGAAGGTCAGGACGTTGCTTCTGAGTGCTTGATAGGAAGTGTGCCTTTCCCCTGCAAAAGAGGAGCGTTCCCTCCTCCCCTGCCTGCTTCAGCTCTTCCTCCCCAATGTACGCGCATGCTTGTCGCTTGATCTGCAGCGCGCACAGCGCATGTAGGGCCCGCCCCACTGTTGCTGTAAGTCCCAGCACCGCAGTGGAAGTATTTGAGGGCTGCGGAAAAGCTACCATTGCAATCTAAGATCCTGGTTTTTTTCTGCATGTGTGTTATAGGGTTGGTGGTGGATACACTATAAAAATGTCTCCTGCTTGTTGGTGCTATATCCCGTTTGCATTCAGGATAGCTTTGAAAAAACCTGTGTTTTGGGAATAGTGGACTGAACTGATATACCTGAATAAAAATGAGAATCTATTCCTATTCTCAAAAGCAATATTACTAATATAATGTTTTATTTCACTCAGTTTTATCAATCAGCCTTCCGAGCAGACTCAGGAACAATGAGAAAAGCCACTACGTAGCAGAGCTTGCTCTTGCTCATATGCTGCTTATATCTTAAACCCACTAGTATCTGTTGATTCTGGGAGCTTTGGATCAGACCTTTCTTTCTCTCTGGGTGATAATAGAGGGCTGTTCTCTCAGCTGGAATAAATAGCTCTGACTTCAGTGGAATTATGGTAATTTCTGCCAGTAGAGGAGTTAAGTGGTATTCAAACCTTACTGTACAAGATGTTGGGGTCCTCAAGGCTTATATACTCTACCCCTTCACTTCCAGTTTCTGTAGCAGGTTTGAAATAATGCATGTGCTTAAGTGCTGTTCCGATATAGATTGAGTGAATGCATTTTTAATATGAACATACTCTATAATAAGTAGAGAAAACTGCTCTTTAAACAGTTGCACACCTTGGTTGGCTGGGTAGCATAGTGCTAGGATCAAAACCTTTAAGTCTGACTCTGAACTTTAGTTACCCAAAGCTGTGGACTTTTCAAAGGCATATGTATGAAATGAGTGAATTTCAACGGGATTTAGGCAACTGTTTGCAGTTTGTGCCTTTGAAAACCTGCCTCTGGGTTCCAACATGAAGTTATGCTTGATTTTTGTATTTCTCTAATTAAATCATTAGCAATTTGTCTTATTTTATTTTCATGCTTATAGAACCACAAGAAAGAAAAAACATTACACATAAACTATTATTGTTTATCGTATGCCTAAAGAATGCTGTAAATATTTTTCCAATGCAGCAAACATGCCAATGAAGAGAATATGCTTTTCTCCTACACTTGTGAAATGTCAGATTAACTTTATGCATTACAGTGCAAAACTCAATGCAGTAGTGACACATGTTAATTAGCTGTCAAAAGTACTGTCAAAAAACTTTCAGTGACTGCTTTTAAACTACATTAGAATACTTCTAAAACCCGGATAAGAATTAAGACCTTATTACAAGCTACAAAATTATTCTGCATATTCTGTGGTATAATGTAGCTCAAGTTTCCAGCTGGTAAAACTTGGAGTGTTTCAGAGGATAAAGAGACTGTGCTGACCTGGTCCCATAGCTACATTCAGTCCTGTATTTCCATTTTCTGAAGTACAAATGTTGCATGTTAAAAGGACTGAAATTTTTCATCAGACTTTCTTGTCTTATTCAAATGCTCTGACCTAAATACTGCAGCCCTTTTACATTAAGAACTGTAAACCAAAACGCTAAAGCCTTTCCGTGGTATTTCTGTGCAAATCTCTGATGGAACAGGAGAAAAGACGCTGTTGACTTTTGAACATATATACAGCCTTCTGGAGTTAAAGCGTTGACTCTGTGCGACAGATACCACAGCTGTATCTGTAAGTGAGATTGCTTCCTCTGTGCCCTACTTACAGTGATTCTCCTCTTGTGGGATCCATCTGTAGCAATAGTCACACATGATAATTTTGATAAGTCTATTTTTAGGAGCAAGAGCAAAGACCTCATGCTGTAGCCTTTTCAGAGTCCTCATGCAAGAGTTAGCAAGTAGGCTTTGGAAGAAGGAGTACTGGCAAGGGGAAGGGGAGCAGACTGGCTGTGTGTGTGTTTTTTTTTTTTAATTCAGTTTAATGTTCACCATTGTTCTCTGGTCAAGACAAATGAGTACCCTCCGCTGTGGCAGAATGCGTTTGTTATCTTGCTAAATGGTAGACTATGATTCAAGAGCCACAACAGTAGCCAAGGCCACAGACCAAATGAGTAGAACATGAAGGAATAATTGTGATCGTTCTCTTGGGAAAATCGTGTTGCTCTCGTTGTCTGTAATTTCAGCAGCAACATCATCCTTTGCAGAGCAAGAAGGTAAGAATAGATATAGTGAGTTGGGTTCTTTCCCCTCTGCAACGGGGACTGCGCTTCATTGTGCTTTCAGTCAAAGCACCTGAGCTCTTCCCCTTTATTCTCGCCGTATGTTCTCTCTGTGCTCACTTTATGAAATTAAGATAGGCCCTTGCCCATATGGCAATCGTGGCATTGTCACCCTGTTTGGTAGGAGGACTCCTTGCATTAAAGCTCCCTACCAGTCATGAGAGTAGTCTCCAGGTAATGCTTAAGCCCTTTCCAAGTGAGCAGGAAAGGGAGCGAGCTGGGATGGGGAATGGGTGACATCTTTCTCAACATAGAAAGAGAAGTGGTCTGCTACTGATTTAGACAACTGCCCACCTTATTCAGAGGGGAAACCAGGAAGTTGTGACTCATGATACAGTAATTCCTATTCTGGCTGCTTCTGAGGCAATGCCTTACTTAGAGCAAATGGTAGAATTATAATTTTAAGGTCTTCTTAAGTTAGAAGTACAACTGGACTATAGTATTTAGTGTTCTGTTTTTCTAGTCTCTTTCTCTTAACGTATATGTAGTTTTGTCCTCTACATGATTCTGTGATGGTGAATGTCACTCCAATTATGCACTTTGTGAAAAAGAACTTCCTTTTTGTTTGTTACAGACTTATAGTCTGATGATTTCTTGGGTGCTCTCCAGCACTTGTTTTGTGATTAAATTATAAGTAATCATTCCACAGTAACCTTTTCCATGCCAGTCATGACACTTTAGACTTCCCTCTTATCCCTGCCCGTCTTTCTTTCCAAGCTGAAGAATTGTAGTATGTTTAGTCTCTGTATGTATGGAAACTATTTCTTCCCCCTAATCCTGCTGACTTTGTAACAAATACTGCTCACTGGGATTTTTTCCTGAGTATTTTTATGCATATTCATGCATTGAATTTGAGGATGAAGCAAATGATTTCCATCGATGAAATGCACTTGCCTGCAGCACAGACTGATGTGAAAAGTGCCTGTTGTTTTCATGTGAGAAAGGCTGGAAAAATGTTTGAGTTTGTGCAAACCTACAAAACCCAGAAAGATAGCTTTGATATCTTAAGTGGTTTTTTTCATTGCAAAAGTACAAGTAAATATGTTTGCAAAACAGAGCCATCTTTCTAGCAAGTTATTTAGGTGTTTCCTTCTCTCTGGATCTTTTGTTCTTGTGCAGAATTAGAGCATGGTGATGGGAAAAGACTTGGAGAATAGTAAATTGACAAAAATGGCATTCTAATCATCTAAGAAACTGCTTGTGAATTTGCATTTAGCCAGTCAAACCATCAGGACTGGAGAAAAGTGTTTGGTGGTGGCACCCGCCTTTCACCAAGTAGTTCTGTACTGCACTACAAAGCATGAAACTTAAGTTTGTTGCAGGGTTTAACATATGAAGCTGAAGGAAGGGCTAAAACCTACAGGGAGCTGGGAAGCACTGGGCAGAGACAGCCAGCTCTGCAGCTCCCTTCAGAGCCCAAAGCGTGCCACTCCAGCCAGTCTCATTAGCTCTGCTGAGAGATAGGGCTGTTTGCTTTGGTAGCACAACACGGTGCTGCTGCGGTAATGCTGGTTCTGGGAGACCAACTTGTATCTCGGAGTGGCTCTGCAGTCGTTCTGTACATGCACATCAGATTGTTTGGAGCAAGCTTATTTCTCTTTATGCAGTGCTGGATTGTGTGTGTAAACATGTGTGCATAGATAGGAATTGTAAGCGTCTCCTGCATTTTAGGGCAGTGTCCTAAACAGTGTATATAGTAACTGGGACATCATTGAGTCAGACAGTTGATTAATAACTATTCGTAGAGAATGAAACAATGTCAACAAAAAATACATTGAATCTCAGCGCAGAATACTTTTGAGCTTCTGCAAAGGACATTTTGAATTTAAATTCCCCACGGGGTTCAGATTCCCCTTCAGAACAATTTAATCTAGATTTTTGCACATTTTGGATATGTGTACTACTTCCTGTACCTTTGAGTAAAAGGATGATGCCAGTAACAACCCTCCGGTAGTTTCATCCATTATGTTTAGTTGTAAGCATTTGTGAAAAAAGGAAAAAGAATAGAACATTTTATTTGAATAAAACAAAATTTATTGGGTTTTTCTTATGGTAATGGATAACAGGCCATCAGTGGTTTTTTGTTTTGCTTTGTTTTTTTCCCAATTCAGCAACCTAACTGAAAAATTAGTTATTTGCACAGCTTCAGGCAGAAGTAATTTCTAGGGTGCCTGACAGCATGCTTATCAGTGCCTAATCAGGTTCTTCTCATGTTTCCCATACTTTTTTATTTTCAGAATCCTGCATCTTTTTCATAGCCGTGCAGAACAAAGTATGAAATGTATCATTAAAACACAGGCCCTGTTTCCATAATCATTCATCCTGGCTCTGTGCATCAGCAAATCACCCTGCAGCAAAAATTTCATCTGGATCATGTGTGGGCACACGAACATGTTCTTGTCAAATTATCCAGAGTGTGCAACAGGGAGGTGATCCTGGTTTTACGCAAATTGCAGAGCAAGAGATGATATCTGATCCTCCGTAAAAGCCAGCCAGTACAATCTTTGAAAAATGTGGGTGGATTAACTAATTTTAGCTGGCAGGGTGAGTCTGTACT